ATCAATTTAATAATGGGAAATGCTACATTTCGGTTATGGAACTATTCCGTCGGGATTTATAACCATTAGATCATCATGTAATCGTCGTGCATAGTTGATCTAATTATAAATCCCGACAGAATAGTATCGTAACGGGACCGTAGAATCTCCCTTTAATAATAGTAAACATAATTAACTAATTTTGCAAAAAATCATTTAGTTAACGAGCTTGGCTATGCTCGTTAAGAGTTCGACTACTATGAGCTCGAACTCGATTTAATTTGTGTACACTTTTACTTTTTATCACCAAAATAATCCTACTAATACCGTGTTGATATTATTTTCCGTAAGGCAAATTAAGCGACATTAACCCGACGATTGAGGTCGGTATAGTGGTGATTAGAGTTCATACAAACAAGTGACAATTCCACCAGCTTCAAGACGACTACACAAAGAAAGATTCAGCAAGGACCGACGTCTTTGCTAAGTTGACCGATATCACATGTCGGTCAACACATGTCGGTCAACACATGTCGGTCAACACATGTCGGTTATTACATACCCGCCACAACATACCGGTTATAACTGGGTGGACCGATATCTATAACATGCCACCTCAACATGGTAAGGCGGCAACAACTCAGCATAATTCATCATTACGCTTATCCAAGTGGCAAGCTATCAAGAGAAGCCACCAAGGACCGCCTTTGACCTTTCAAGGTGTAATGATTATTGTACAGATAAATATGGTATGTAAATATAAAAGGGAAATAGAGAATTTCCCAAAAACACACAGACAAGAATACCACCTTACTACATGCTACAAATTACATTTCTGAACATAATACACAGGCTTTTCGTCGCTAAACATTTAGATTTACTTCAAATACATCTCAATTTGGTTGTTGTTAATTTCCATGTGACAACAGTTTGGCGCTAGAAGGAGGGCGGCCTTGAATTTCATTCGCTGTTAAAACCATTTGCATACACAGAATCATCATGTCACAATCTGGGCGAGACCATGCTACTCACCCTGGCCAGAGCCAGTCAACTAATCATTCCCCGCGGCGTACAACACCACCACCTCCGGCTGCGAATATTACCAACTTCCTTCAAAATCCGGAGTTCATACAGGGTTTGTCTTCATTACTAGCTCGAGCCATGCCTAGAAACTCGAGCACGATGCCCTTGACTACTAACCCAACAGAGCATCCCAATGATATTCATCATGATCGTGAAACACATGCTGCGACGTCACATGCTACGTCCCAACCTCATCACACCTCTCCACGTCAAGAAGAACCAGTTCAAGTGATCGTGAATCCCGTAACGAACAATCAAGCTCAAGATCAGCCCCCTGTGCAGGAGATGACGGCTGAGAGTCATTCTGCTCATCATCAAAGAGTTTACCCACGTCCTAGACCCATCTCATCAGCACCTCACGCTCGCGAAGATTTACGACGCCAAATTGAGCGCAACCGTCTTTCAAGACACAGTGCGGAGGAAATCGAAACCCTCCGCAAACGTTTGGCCGAACTTGAAATGCGACAGAAGTCACAAGAAGATTCGCCCCGACATATCGCGACGTCGGGAAATGTTGTTGTTGAGGCAGATTCTCCGTTAGCCCCTGAGCTTACCGCGGAACCACTCCCTGTCAAAGTAAAGATTCCGCAAATCGGTATGTATGATGGGACGTCGGATCCAGACGCTCATTTAGGTCATTACACATCTTGGATGGATTTACATGGAGCTTCAGATGCTCTGAGGTGTCGAATGTTCTCACTTACGCTGGGGCCGCGAGCCCAGAAATGGTATTACACTCTCCCACCTCATTCGATATG